CTCCAATTTGTGGCCTCAATACAGGACCACCAAACATGGTAGAAGGTGCCATCCCTTCTTCCACATTTCCAACACAGTGGGGATAACCCAGGAAACATTTTGGCTAACCTCGTTGGGGGAAAGGGCCATCTTTAAACCATCTTGTATATATTTTTCCCTCTGTCCTGATTGATCAGATCCGCGTGCGAGATGATAAAATGCCTTTGGCCCATCTGGCCATCGCGGTGGAAGCAGCTGGCTGGTGTCACCCAGATACCATCCCTCTGATGGTGGCAAACACGCTCATTGGCAACTGGGACCGTTCTTTCGGAGGGGGAATGGTGAGTTGGCACCGAACTTACTGGACAGTTTTAAAGAATGTGTGCTTTGGGACTAGGACGGCTTCTAATAAAACGTTAGCCGGGTTTTAGAAATGTAATTCCAGGACGTATAAAAATGATTTTCTTAAATCGGGCTACCCTAATTCCTGCATTCCTTCTAAAGGTATTTTGAAGTCCATCTCCACAATGCATGAATGGGTGCAAAAATTGATGGAGTTAGCAGAGATGGCTGAACTGACTGATTTGATCAGGGGTGGGATTCAGCCGGTTCGGGCGAACCGATAGTTTCGGTCAGCATTTGGCCCCGCCCCCCTCCCCGTCCCTGCTCTTTCCTGTCCTACATTTCCCTGTTTTATAGCTCAGCTGTTTTGTGTGGCTGAACAGATTGACACATGTCAGCTGTTACACTCATAGGCGCTGACATAAGAAGGTATGTTTTGAAGCTTTAAAAGGTCGGTTTTTTTTAATGCTGAGCGCACGCGCAAAGGGCGCGCATGAAGCACGCACTCACCAAACCAGTTGTTAAACCAGTTGTACCCCACCGCTGGATTTGATCAAAGAAAGACATACGAATACTTTTATTTATTTATTTTATCATTTTACTTAGTTTTTTTCTTTAACATACATAAATGCCTAGTGAACAGTGTCAATGTACTTTACACACAATAGTAACAACAACAACAATGGCTGACCATCACAGCCCGCTGAGCCTCCAGGCGCCGGTACCTGGCGTTGCACTCACGCAGGTCTTCCCTCTGCTTGGAAAGCCTATGCTCGTAGTCCTCAGTGAGGTGCTTCTGCTGAGCACGGTCAGATCCAATTTGAACTGAGCTGTTTTGCCAACCCTTTCTCATGGTAGCTACTTAGCTCCAACAACTGCTTCCTGTTGGGGCCCTTAGGAGCCCTGGCGGGCAGGCGAGGAGTACCTGGGAGGGGAAGGGCGAGTAGAGGCTGGCGAGGCACCCCTCCACGTGAGTGACATCGAGTCGGCTGCGCCCACCCAGTCACACGGCCACCTAGTCACACCCCCCCAGCCGGTTCATTAGGCAGATCATATTCGTGGTCCGCGGGATTTAAAAACAATGGATTTAGTGGTCCCTGAGGCCCGAAAGGTTTTTGACCCCTGTTCTAAGGGCCGTTGAAAAGCTCGTCTTCCTGCTCTCTTTCAACAGAACCTGTCCAGCAAGCTCGCCCAAGCTGCGTGTCACGGCAATCTTTGCCACAGTTTCCAGTCTTTTAATACGTGTTACACGGATACAGGATTGTGGGGTCTTTATA